ACAGCAGTTTAGGAAGGAATAGGTAGTTCATGGAGAAAAGAGCATGAATAAAGAATGGAGAAAAATATACGGCTATGAAAAAATTTATATATAAAAAGAAATCCTTCCCCACTTTGAAAAAAGAGAGAGATTTATAAAATAGAAAAACACTCCATGCCTGAACAGGTAAAGAGTTAAAGAAAGTAGAGAAAAAAATATTGTTTAAAAAGGAAAGAAAACAAAAAGAAGTGAATGGAGATCCCAAATAAATTCCTTTCCCACCAAGAAAAGCCTTTTCTTTCTTTACATTCTGCTTCTGCCTTTGTGGTTTATTTGCAACTGCACAAGACCATTCAGCAGCTGTGTTCATAGAAACTCCTTCTCATTTCTGGTGGGACAGGTTGCACCACTGAATCTCTGATACAGACAAACTAGGCAGGCAATTCTTTCAGATCCCAGTAGCAGCAACCCCTCCCCACCTGCGCGCGCGCGCGCACACACACACACACACACACACACACACACACACACACGGGGCTTCTCACTGCCCTGCCTGTGTGATCCCCTTCCCCCGGCACTGGGAATCCCTCTCAAAATTAAGGCTGAGCAATGTTTGACCCCTCTCTGGTATGGCCAGTGCAAATTTTCGAGAGAGAACCTTCTCTTGGATTCCCTTAGATGTCAATGCTAATCAAAACGTACAGACTTACTATCACCTCCTTCTGAATCTAGATGTCTCATGAGGCTTCAGTTATGGTGTCTAGACATGTATTATTTGGAACCACAGGGTCCCTGGGCAATGTTCAGAGAACAGCAACTCACTATCTGACCCCTAGAGAGAGACTCCTAGGAGTCACTGGCCCATTCCCCTGAGGAAATGTTTTTTCTGGAAGCAGGGAATGAGACACTCTCATGAAGAGTTGTCCCACCTGGGGATCTCCATTTAATTTTTTATTAACAACAACCAAAAAAACCCCTGAAAAACACTAACTCATTTCTGACACAATTTGCTATTTATTATCTGTGACACTTAAACAACAACCTTTAAATTAAGGCTCCCTGAGAATGTTAGATTAAAAGAAAGATATTCATATTCCGCCTGGGATTGTTAGTGACTAGGGAGTGGTGGAGAGAGAAGGTCTATATCCATCATCACAGCTCTCTTTACTCTCTCCTCTGCCACTTCTGCCATCCAGAAGCAGGAGGGACAGATCAGCATCATCACATTCACATTTTGGGAGGGCACTTGGGTCAATGGCAAATGTCAGTAAACTTTGGTCTACAAGCCAAATCCAGTCCGTCATATGCTTTTATAAATACAGTCATCCCGTGGTATCCACTGGGGATTGGTTTCAGGACCACCTGAGGATACCAAAATCTGTGGATGCTTAAGTGCCTTATATAAAATGTCAGAGTACAGGCATACCTCATTTTATTGTGCACCTCTAACTGAACTTTGAAAATACTGCATTTTCTACAAATTGAAGGTTTGTGGCAACCCTGTATTGAGCAAGTCTATCTGCACCATTCTTCCCACAGCGCTGTTCATTGCAGGTCTCTCCATCACATTTTGATAATTCTCACAATATTACACTTCTATTTTCATATCTTCCCAAATACGTTAAGTCATCTCTACTTATAATACCTAATACAATGGAATTTCTAGGTAAATAGTTGCAAATACAATGTAAATACTATGTAAATAGTTGCTGGTGTGTGGCAAATTGAAGGTTTGCTTTTTTGGAACTTTCTGGAATTTTTAAAAAATATTTTTAATACTCACTTGAATCCACAGATGCAGAACCTGCAGATATAGAGGGATGACTGTAAAGTTTAATTGCAGCACAGCCATACTCATTTGTTTACATGTCACCTACAGCAGCTATCATGCTGGTAAAGTTGAACAATTGCAACAGAGACCATATATGACCCACAAAGTCTAAGACATTTACTATCTGGCCCTTTACAAAAAATGTTTGACTTGATCTAAGGTAAAGCAGAGACATACATGAGGAACAGTCTGTTCAATATTCACCACATTTTGGTTCATATGACAAATATTTGTGAAGAACTTCCTGGGTGGGAGGCTCTGAGGATACAACAGGGAACAGAACCCGCAGAGTCGTTTGCTTCACAAAGTTCACAGTTTTCTCAGGCTTTATTGCAATGGTCCCTGTTCAACTTTTTTTTTCTTCTTCTATGTTTGTTAAATACAAGCTAGTATTACAATACAGTAATAGGCATGGAATAGGGTATCAACTAGAGTTACTAAATACAGGATGCCCAGTTCAATTCAGCAAACATGTACTAAATTAAAATAGCTACTATGAACAAAGCCAAATGCTGTAATATTATCCTTCCTCTGAATGGGACATCAAGAGAGGGCCAAAGAGAAGTGTTCTGTACATGTAGGGTGTTTTTATCCCATTATCAAGGAGACAGAGGTTAGTGATGGATAGAGGTGACTGATGGACTTTAACCATGAGGACAAAGCCATCTCTGTGTAGATGTATGTGTCAAGCTATTTTAAAATGATGCTAACAAATATTCCATTAAAAAAAGTAGTAGTAACAAGGGGAGATATTTAAAAAAAAAAAAAAAGAGAAGAGGAAGAGAAAGCTCTTTCCTCCTTTCTGGTAGAAGGGAGAAAAGAGAAACCTATACGTAGTGCACAGAGGAAAAACCCAAGTTGAATAATTCATGGGTGTTGAGAAATGTGAGGAGTGCTCATGTGTACAAGTCTCATTCTGAAAACATCTGGCTTAACAAATCTGGGATCTTAGTGTTGTGATAACAAGAAAAAAGAATGGAGGGGAGAAAATGTGGTGGTGGCTGAACTTGTCACATATATATAAAATCTAAACCCAGAGTGCTCACGTGGGCAGAATGGAAACCCTTCTAGCAGCATGGCACTGAGTCCTGCACAGTCAGTTCCTAGAGATAGAGAGCATGCAAAAGGTCACGTGGTATTTGCCATCTAAAATAGATGAAAGCATTAATCCATTTCATCAAACTAGTATTTGTGTTTACAGGCATCGGTAGATATTTAACTCACACACAGAGGTAATATATAAAACCAAACATAGAGACAGAGTCTGTTGTGAGCATTTAAAAAAATCAAACCTGGACTACATTAGCTAAATCTTAAGCAATCCCTAAATTTAAAACATAAGTAAGAAGTGGCTTGTTTTCAGGTCATCCCTGAAGGATTTTCATCAGGCCTTCAGTTTGTCACAGTAGCAGACTGCAGATTTTTCCTCCCAAGCATTTCCCAAGAAGGATTTTCTGATTTGTCACACATGTTCCCATTCATTGGTCCAGTGCCCTGGCAGAACCAGAGATTCTAAACTTGTCCGGAAAAGGGTTTCATAATTCATCATGCATACCACTCTCCTTGGCGCCAAGAGCAGTGGCCTGTTCCAAGTGCATGCTCTTGGACATTCACGGTTGACTAAAGGGACCAGATTTTTGATAAACTAATGTAGGACAAAGGGAAAGAGCCTGATAGCACAGGGCCTGCGGCTGAGATAGAGGAGGGAGAAAGAGAGAGACAGGGAATAAGGCTGTGGTGAGAGGGGCAGGTGGGGCTCCCCTTGTTGGGTATCCCATGAGACAAATGTGTGACTGCACTGGTTGAGGAAGGTTGCTCCCTGCAGTAAGGGGGGTAGGGAGGGGGTGGGGAGTACTAGAAGAATAGTGAGATGTTTGGAAGGATGAGAGAGGAGGACAGGCAAAAGGGGAAAGGAGAGTCTGGGGAGAGAGCCAATGCTCCAGGACAGATCGTTTTGGAAAACATGGTGCCTACCAGCTAGCCCAGGAAGTTCATGTTGAGGGCCATCGTCGGTACAAGGTGACCATTCACCTTGGCTTTGATGAGGCTGGGCAAAAGGGGGTGGAAATGATGCATGGGGCCCATATCATGCTAACATTCTTTGAGAGTGCCCATTTGTCTACAGAGGCAAGACATTCTGAAAAGTTTCCCATTTCCACTGTGTTCATAATGATTTCAGCAGTGAGCCATTTAAATTCAAAATTAAGATTTACTTTGTTTGAAATGTTTCACCTTAGAAAGCTGCAGCAGAATCATAAGAAAAGGAATATGTTTAACTATTGTTAAATCTAAGTATTCAGTCAGCCTTCCTCTCCTTCTGAATATTCAAATTGGAGAGCCACGGAGGACAAAGAGAAAAATAAATGCATTTCTGATAGAAAATGCAAATTAATGCCTGCATTCTGCCTAAATTCCTCCAATATATCCTTTCAGTTGTTTTCTTTCATCACCGTCTGACTAGAAAACTTACATAAATTTTTTTTGGTTGGTAGGTGAGTGGGAGTCTCTTTGTAAATTTTCTTATTTAAAAAACATTATATTGATAATTAAAGAAATGCAAATTAAAGCTGCAAAATAACAATACCGCTACCAAAATGGTGAAGATCCAAAACATTGATAATTCTCCAGATGGGTACAGTTGTGACAAAACAGAAACTGCATAGTCTTGATGGCCTTATTAAATAATATTACAGTTTGGACTGACAATCTGAAAATTTATCTACACTCTAAATCCATTTCTCCCAAGAATTTTACATCACTTGATTTACTCCATAGAAATAGTTGCCCAGTTGATCACACATATATATGAACAAAGATGTTCACTGCTGAATATTTCATAGGTGCAAAGAACTAGAAATGATTAAAATGTTCACCATGAGGGAACTGGTTTATTACATTATGGTACCTCCTTTCAACAAAAATCCTGAACAGCCTTTAAAGGAATGAGCTACAATATGCTTCTGCATATATTATATATCCTTTCAATATATTAGATGGGGGATGGGCAAGGGGAAAAGGTCACAGAATAGCATTATAATATGATTCTAATCTTATTTTAAAAAACATTATCAGTGGATAGATTTCATGAATATTTTACAGAATTGTTATGCAAAGGAAACATCTGCTAGGATTCACAACAAAGTGTAAACAGTGGCTACTTCTGGAAAGCAGCAGGTGGAGTTTGGCAGAGATGGGGGACTTTTACTTTCTTTTCTTACTCCACTGTATTTTTCCTGTTTTTATAGGCCTGTGTGATTTCATAATTCAAGAAGGTCGATGTAGATACTCAGATATTTTAGTTTACTTCTTCTCTGGAAAATCCCAGGATTTGTAGATCCTCCCAGGTAAGAGTCATCATATGTGAAAAATGCAACGTTTTACCGTTCAGTACTGATCCTGTTCCTTTCTTTCAGTGATTTCTACTTCAGCCTCCCAAAAGTCCCTGGAATTCATAGCATCCTCTAAATTCAGCTGTCCGGTCCCTGCTCCATTCCTTCACCGTAGGCCCCTCTACCAACATCATATGCAAGCCTTTAGGGATTCCCATACAGAAAGCAGGGTGAAATTCCAACCCTCACTTCCAAACTCTCACCATGGCAAAACTCTGCAAATTTTATCTCCAGTAGTAAAGGTTGATGATCTACCATTATATAAGAACAACTGTTAGATCATAAAATAGAGCTAAAAAGCTAACATTATCCAGGTGGGTGGTACTCACCCTTCACTGCATGATAGAAACACCTGAGGAGTTTTAAAAAGCATAGAGACACTTGGACTACCCCCAGACCAACCAAAACAAAGTCTATTTTGGAACTTATCTAATCCCTTATCAGAAAGGTAAGGACACTGAGTAGCAGAGAGGATGAATGACTTGCCAAAGGTCATTCATGTGCCAGTTGGAAGACATGTTATTCACCAGATTTTAATTGTTTGTCTAGGGTGCATGGTAATAAATAACCCAGATACTGGAATTAAGCATACACTTTTTTATTAAAATTAGAAAATCAGAAGGTATATTTTTCTATTCTGAGATATATACTGCTTGAAAAGTACCATTATTAATGACACTAGTCCATGTTAGTGCAATATTAGAAAAATAGATCCCACGTTGCCTTGATTGTAAATAAATAATTTCTCAGAACATTGTGTCTAGAACAGTTTAATTGCCCTAATGGCTTGCATCATAACTCATCACCCCATCAGAGGCATCAATACAAAGGCTCAACAGTAGATTTAAATGTCTTAATAAAAGAATATTATAACGACCTATATTATCTCTGTTTATAGCTCAGCATAAATTAGGTCAGAAAAGTAATTTTGAAAATCATCCCCATATGTTTAAATCTAGAAAACCATCTAAAATTAATCAAATTCCCACAGGGATTAATGCACAAGTCTTAAGTTTTTGAATTGTTCTGCAAACAAATCCCAGGGCATGCCTAATGATTATGAATATTTTTAAGAAGCCATTTTTCTCTCACAAATATTTCTATCTCAACCTTTTAAACAGTGAAGAACTTGAATTCACTTCAAGTTTTCATACTAAAAGTACAGGCACCTCTCCAAGCCAGACAAACACACATCATTGCTGCACAGCTCAGAAATCAGAGTTGTTCAGCTTTTCCCTCAAAGAGTTTGGGAACCAGTTCGCTATTGAAACCAAGAAGGACAGGGCTCCTGGGCATGAAAGCCTTTTTGTCCCCAGTTTCTTGTAGGCAAGACTCCAGCCTCCCTGACCTTCCCTGAGTTGCAAAGGGCAGATTCGAACAGTTGCTAAACAAGGGAGGGGCAGCAAAGAAATCACCTGACCAAGATTATCGGGACCACAGAAGTTCATCAAGATTAAGAGACCAACCACCTGAGACGAGATTAAGCGAGTGCAGGCCCTGCACACACCCTAATCTTATCAGCAAGCCCACCCTTGAACTATTGCTATAAAACTCCTCACCAAACCCTCCTGGGTTGGGACACATAGTTTTTGAGGGCAGGAGTCCACTGTGTCCCCCTTTGCTGGAAAACCAATAAGGCTATTCTTTTCTGCTTCACCCAAAACTTTGTCTCGTAGATCCAATCTGGCACCGGTGCAGAGAGGCTGAGCTTTCGGCTTCCCTATTGATGATTCTCAGGCAAAATTCTAAAATTCCTCCTGTAGTAGTCCCAGCTTCAAGGTCTCAAATACCTGCTTCATGAAGCCTGTGTCATAAGCAATACTCTCAGTTGACTAAGAGAGAACCTTTAAAGGAAAGACTCTAACCCTTTTAAAACCAGTTAACTCTCTGGGATATCTTTCATCAAATACATCTTAATCTAAATGTGGCTCAAGCTAGGACAAAGGGTATCAGGCAAGAAAGGAAGAAAACTCCATGGTGGAATCATAACACACTTATGTCCGCAGAAAATGGAAAGTTCATTTCTAGCATTTGTCTTAACATGTATGAATCAGGCATTCTAAAAATATAGGAAGTGTCTTTGATCTGCTGCTGCTTTTTGGTTTTTTCAGAGAAAACATCAATCCTAATGAACTTTTCAAACTTCTCTGTGAACAATGTAAAAGCTAGATTCCAGCTTTAAGCAGTAAGTCCTTACAATTTCGCTCTCTTTGAATAAGGACACTTTAGTCACTGCCCTGAGAGAATTCATTATCTTGCTGTTGTTTTGTTTTAAAAATTCTTTATCTTTGTTTTTGTTTATTTTTTCCCCACACGAGAAAATAGTTAACTTAAAAATGAGTTACTGGGGGCTTCCCTGGTGGCGCAGTGGTTGAGAGTCCGCCTGCCGATGCAGGGGACGCGGGTTCGTGCCCCGGTCCAGGAGGATCCCACATGCTGCGGAGCGGCTGGGCCCGTGAGCCGTGGCCGCTGAGCCTGCGCGTCCAGAGCCTGTGCTCTGCAACAGGAAAGGCCACAACAGTGAGAGGCCCACGTACCGCCAAAAAAAAAAAAGAGTTACTATTGGTGTGGTTGGGGCAGCCTCATTAAATCTTTCAGAACATTAAATTCTCCATCTTTTATTTTCCTTTCAATAATATGATAAATCCTGTGGGGCTTTGCCTGAGCTAAACAATGTGGCATTTACTTATTCAAAAACATTTCCCAAGAACCACCTAAAAAAGTTTCTAAATGCCTTAATAATATTATACTAATCCATCATGCTGCTCACTATTTGCATAGTCATTTCATTGGATAGTTTATGATAAATGGAAGTGAAAGGATTTTCTTACACTGCCATTTTTCACAAAGCTTGCTTTCCTATTAGAACAACATTAGAGGTAGTTTCCTTCTGAGACCCCTTCAGTTAGTTTCAATTTTCTAAAGAGATATGGGGCTACCCTGGCAGCCTGCTGATCTTATATACTGATCTATCCTCCTCTGTTAAGCTCCCCTCCCATGCTGACTTCCTGAAGACCACCTTCTGGAAAAAATAATCATGAAAATTCCCATTCAAGTCTATGCAGCCAAGAGCACAAGTGCTCAAGATTCTTTCACACCCAAAGCTTCTATGAGTCATTGTACTTCTTTTGTCACCTCTTCCCAAGTACCTTATGACTAATATGGCCTATCCAAACTTCCCATGGCATATTCATCAATGGCTAAAGAACATTATTTTTATGGGCTCAATGATGTTCCCCCCAAATTTGTATGTTGAAGTCTTATTCTCCAGTACCTCAGAATGTGACTGTATTTGGAAATAAGGTCTTTAAAGAGGTAATTAAGGTAAAATGAGATTATGTGGGTGGGTCCTAATCCAGTATGACTGGTGTCCTTATAAGAAGAGGAGATTCGGTAAGACACAGACATGCACAGAGGGAAGACCATGTGAAATCATAGAGAGGAGCTAGCCATCTACAAGCCAAGGAGAGAAGCCTCAGAGGAGAAACCCTGCCGAAACCTCGATCTCAGATTTCTAGCCTCCAGAACTGGGAGAAAATACATTTCTGTTGCTGAATCCTCTTAGACTACTGTATTTTTGTTATGGCAGCTCTAACAAACTAATGCAAATATTTTTCTCTAATTCAAGTTTTAGCACCTATTTGAGGTCAAGGAGAAATGTGGGAAAAAGTAAGACTGGAAAGAAGGACTGGGCCAAGATCAGATATAGTCTTCAGGTATGGGGAGGAATTAGAATTTTATTCTAAATGAGATAGAGGGGGGAATATGGAATTCAACAATATGGACAAGCCCCTTTGAGAAAGTAAGATTTGAACAGTTTTGATAGGCAATGTTGTCAGCCAAACGTGCAGTGGATTAAAAAATGTCTAAATGGGTGGTAAGACCATGGACTCAGGGAACATAGGTGATGAAACTACCTATGTCTTTCCTCTAACAAAAACCCATGTCACACTACTTGGTATTTAATATGAGAAATTCAATACAAGTTTAATGCCTTGATCTAATATAAACAATTCTGCTTCCTCAGTGAAAAAAAGAAGCAGCAGTCCCCTGACAAATGACTTACCCCTACCACCAAAACAAGCACATTCTTTTCTCTTGTGAAGTTGACTACTTGTAGGACAAGTTATAATTTATCCACATCTTACTTACATTTAGGGTAGCCTAAAAATATTTTCTCTAGAGACTGATATTTATGGACTTGCATCATTATGCTAAAAAGACACAGAATGTTAGGAAACTGTAGGTCTGAAGATTCAATTTTCTTTTGCCATTAGGCATTGGGTGCCATTAGCCTTACATCCCTAGTCATTGTACTTCACAAGTGAAAACTAAAAATCATATTTGTGCTACCTTGTGACTTTTCTCTCTCACATTCAAATTCTCAGGTGATTATGTGAAACCTTAAATAGGTCATAATAATGGCCAGAGATTATCATCTGCTTGCCAGTGCAATCTTGGAAGATAGCACTGAGTTTTATAAATAGAAACTTTTTTTCAACTCACCTGCCTGAAAGTAGTCATAATACAATTGGGATTTCACTTGAAAGTTGCATGATAGCCAGAATCAAACCTCCAAGGTTTCCTGAGATGTTGTCAAAGTATATTAAACATTGGCCATTGTTTTGCTCTTTGGTAGGTTGGTCTAATTGAAACTCAGTGAGATAAGGTATGCAAAATACTTAACACAAATGTCTGGTGGACACTCAAAAAATGTGTAGTGAATGAGTTATTAAATAAGTAAATGAATATATCATAATTAGAGCAAGAATGCGGCTGGTTATCAAGGAAACTGAAACTGCGTCCTTAAAGGTTGTCAGGAGCCATATCTTTGCCATTATTTCAGCTTCATTGTTCTTCTCCACTACCTGGCTTTCTCTGCCTCTTTGTTCCTGTGGGTTTCCTAGTGCTCCTGAGTTTAAATCTCTTTCCTTTTTTTTTTTTTTTTTTTGGGTTCCGGGGCCTCTCCTTTTTTTTTCCTTTCCCGTTTCCAGGGGCGGGCTCAGCGGCCATGGCTCACGGGCCCAGCCACTCCACTGCATGTGGGATCTTCCTGGACCGGGGCACGAACCCGCATCCCCTGCATCGGCAGGTGGACTCTCAACCACTGCGCCACCAGGGAAGTCCCCTAAATCTTTTAACGTGTCAATATATTATTATTTATCCACCCCTCAGAGACTGTTTCTTGTTTCCAGTACTAAATCTCTGGGGTGATCTGACAGGTTCAGCTTAAAGCAAATGTCCACCCAAGGTCCAACTGGCCTTCACTAGGAGAATGGGTTTGCACATGAAAATCATGGCCCCTGTGTAAATTACTTAAGTAAATGGAAGACCAGTTCCCAGAGAAAAAGGAGTTGTTTTAAGTCGGGCAGATAACCAAACGATGTCTTCTGATGATTGATGGTGGGGAGGGAAGTGAAATTTTACTGAAAGATGAATAAATGAAAGGACATCAGGATGAGATGCAGAGGAAAGATGAGAAAATGATGACTTCGAATCAAAATGGAAGAAGGAGATTTGGAGTCAATATCACAGAAGAATCATTCATAATTTAGTGTGTCATTTCTCTGCTCGTGGTCGCATAGGAACTTTCAGTTTTGCCAAATATACATGTTTCAAATTAACTGTATTTCAGAAATTCTGTTATATTCATCTCACTATGATATATGTGATTTGTTGTCAAGAAATATAGACACATAGTATGTACTTACATGAGAATCAGGAAAAGTGAAATCAACTATGAATATCTTTACATTTTCTATTCCTTCTTGTACATTTGTTAATCAAGAGTAGCACAATGGGCTTCCCTGGTGGCGCAGTGGTTGCGAGTCCGCCTGCCGATGCAGGGGACACGGGTTCGTGCCCCGGTCCGGAAAGATCCCACATGCCGCGGAGCGGCTGGGCCCGTGAGCCATGGCCGCTGAGCCTGCGTGTCCGGAGCCTGTGCTCCGCTAGGGGAGAGGCCGCAGCGGTGAGAGGCCCGCGTATCGCAAAAAATAAAAAAAAAATTAAAAAAAAAAAAAGAGTAGCACAATAATCCATTTCAGAATACATTTTGACATTCCTTCATTATTGAATGAGAGTAGCTTATATTTTTTAAATCAGCTAAACTTTGGTTTCTGCTGAAGCGGTAACCAAGATGCTCTAGGTTACAAGCTGAAGTTTGGAAAATATTCAGCCTGCTGACTTTTATCCTCTCTTTTGGACAAGATGGGTATGGGTAATTTGGGCCTCTGGCTATAAAACATGAACCTGTCTATCTGCATTATTAATGGATGTTTGATGGGATGAGCCAACAGTGACTTTGGTTTCTTTGCAAAGAGACTGAAAGGAAATTTCTTGAAATGGGAAAAGTCAAACTGACAGAAATATGGTGATAATAACAACGAACATTTTAGCTTGCTTATGATGTTCCAGGCACTGTGTTGAGTACTTGAAATGATTCATTTGATGTAATATGTATAATTAACCTATGGCACGGATACTATCATTACCGCATTTTAAAGGTTAGAAAACCAAGGCTTCAAGAAGCTGAGTAGCTACTCAAGATTACAGCAACTAGGAATAGGGTAGAACTGCAGTTTCATTTCAGGTAACATAACTTTAGAACCATCATTCTCCTCTAGATCTTAACTTATAGCTTTACTGCATCCTTCATGTTGAGGATTAAGCTCCTGGCAGAGCCAACAAGTCATGAAAGTACTGGGGCTGAAATTTCTCTCTCTGGGCTGAACTATTCCTTGATTTTTTAAAGCATGAGGAGAAGGACATAGCATAAACGATGCTGAATACAGATACAACTAAAACCACTTTTAAAAATCCCCAAAACAAAACAGTTGAAAAGTTTCACATACACTTATTCCCTGGTTAATATATTACACCAACAGCTTTTAGATATTACTCGCATTTCAGCTGTTTCAATTTTCTGACCCCTAAAGCTGGAATTTCTCATTCACAGATAGGGGGAGAAACAGCAGGGAGAAGCTAATAGAAGGGTTATACCAAGACTATAATTAATTCTCCACAGGAAACACCAAGGAAATACTCCATAAGAGGAGAGAAAACTTCTGACCTTTCTTCCTCTCTTATTACGTAAAAGGGGAAGAATATTCTGGGTAGATTGTAAACCCAGATGCACATTTACTTACGACCTCCAACCATTCATAATAAAAATCCAACTATGAC